TTTTTTGCGCCCTAGGTAGGGCTACTTTCGGGTGCCCCCCGCACATTGCCAACCTCCAGGCAGGGCCTGGAGAGAACTTAGTCCAACTGCTCCCCCCCTTTGGAGGCTCCAAAGTTGCCTCACATCTGCCCAGGGCCAGAGGGAGCTTGGGCCGCCGTCGACTGCCGGGGCAGCTGCAGGTGAGCTGGGCAGAGGAGCGTGCCAAGAGTGGCATGGGGACGAGGCCAGGCTGCTTTCAGGTGCCTTGCGGGCACAAGCACCCTCCCTCTGGCCAACCAGGGCTCCCGTGCCCAGTGGCGGCGAGGAGGAGGTGGAAAAGGCCCCTCATCAAGAGGGGACCCACGGGCGGGGCGGGGATGGCCGGTAAACTTGGATGGTCGGGCTGGGAGAAGAGCGAAGAGCTCAGGGGCGCCAACGCCGCACAGCCCGCTGCTCCTCCGGCCGAGCCTCTTCCCTTTCCCCCCCACCTTCGCTCTCTGCAAAGCCTCTTCCCTTTCCCCTCTCCCCTCTCTGGTTGCGGGGGGAGGGGAGGGAAGCAGAGGGGAAGGCGGGGAGTGTGTGTGTGTTGGGGGCTGGAGGGATTGAGAGAGGCCATGCTGAGGAGGTGGGGAGGATGCAGGGGCTCCTTCCTTCCTCCCTCCCCTGCTTCCCTCCCTCCCTCACCGGCGCACAGAGAGAGAGGGGGGGCGGGCAGGCAGAGACCAGGGCCTCGATCCCCGCGGGCTTTCCTTTCTCTCTCACCCGGAGGGGGGCTCAACTGCTGTGGGGCCGGAGGGTGCGCGCAGCCCCCGAGCACTTCCCGCCTCCGCTCACTGCCTCCTCCTCCTGCAGCAGGGCCCAGCAGGGAAGCCATCGTTCAGGGCTTCTGGCGGAGGCTGGGGGACGGCGCTGTAGGCGAATGCCTAGTTCGCCTAGCGGGTGAGCCGGCCCTGCATACAGAATCATTAGTACAAATCAGATTGCCAACTCCATCTTAGGAAATTCCTGGACACTTGGATTGGTGCTTGGGGAAGGTGAAGTTTGAGGAAAAGAGTGAGCTCATTAGGGATATGATACTATAGAGCAGTGGTGCCAACATGTGGCCCGGGGGCCGGATCAGCCTCCCAGAGGGCTTCTATCGGACCCGCAGTGGAACTGGCTATCTTCTGCTTCTTCTTTCAGTTCTGCTGCTGCTGCATCATCGTGGGTTTGCAGCTTACAGATACACACCTGAACAGCATACTAAAGATTGCAACAGCACAGACATTTTGATGCAGTAATTCAGAGGAAGCGGTGTCAAGTTATCAGACTCTGTTAAATAAACAAAATATTGTAAAAGTGCTAATGTTTTAAGCATGTTTTTATTTTTAAGTTAAAAAAATCGTTTGTGTCCTTTATAAAGTTTATATCTCCACTACCTGGCATTACATTTTATGACACACATGGCCTGGCCCAACAAGGTCTCATTTATGTCAGATCCAGCCCTCATGATAAATGAGTTTGACACCCCTGCTATAGAGCCTACCCTCCAAATCTACAATTTCCTACAGAATGCCAGGCCTCTCATATGGAGGTCACACTCAATTACAAGAAAAGTCCATCATACTCAATGAGCACCCGGATATAAACTAATTTCATCCCAATCTTCCTCAGGAGTAATCCTGTTGTATAGCAAGGTATCAGCCTCTTGATACAGTTCAATGTCTGTTAGGAGCAAACCAATGCTTAACTTCTTTATTTTCTGCACTTCTGGTTCCATTTTGAGTGTTAGTATTAGGAGCAAAGGAGCTGCGGTGGCTCAAGTGGTTAAGACGCTGAACTGCGGG